AAATTGGCAATAAAATGGTGGCTGCTAAGGTCTCAATCTTGTTACTATAGTTCTTTTTAATAATATCTCGCCGTATAAAAAAAATCCCGTTCTCTGGGTTTTTAATGCTTCATGAATCTGGATGTGACTGCAGCATCTTCTGTTTGCAGGTGAATGGTAATCTTATCAAGCCAATGCATGTACTTGCAAACGCAGAAGTTGTAGAGATTATCACTTACAATGTTAGTTGCTATGAATTCTTAACCTTCTTTTGCCTATATTCTCTATCTTTCATTCTTTTTTGTCTTCCTTTTGTGGGCAGCCTAGGGCTTTCTACGTTTTTCATTGTTTTTGTCTTGCTGAGACCTCTACTCATGTCTCATATGTGTTGTAATTCTTAAAATTCTAGATATCAACTAAACCTTAATGCAGATAAAGGTCAGCTGTATTTAATATGTAAGCATGCATCTTTTTTTTGTTTTATCTTTCTTCTTAATCTTTCAGTTCTTGGACCACCCTCTTATGCTTATGACATATAAACTGGTCATGCTTTAACAGTGTATTACTGGCTAGGAGGGATAGTCTAGTAGTACAGGCCTCCACTACCAACCATAAGGTTGGAAGTCTGTGTCACCAATGAAGTGAGGTGGAAGTGGACCACTGTTGGGCTCTTGGGCAATGGTTTTTTGGGCTCGTGGTTTTTTTCTGGGTGGGGGGTTGAGGGTGGGATTACCAATTGCAAAAAAGTTCTGGGATATTCATTTAGGGTGTGTTTCGATGAAGGGAAACATTTTCATGTTTTTCCAATTTTCTCATGTTCGGTTGGTCAAATAATTTGTAAAACATTTTCTTTAGAAAAACAAGCTCCTTAAAATTGAGCAAAATGACTTTCATAATGGAAGTAAGGAAAACAAGTTGCACCTAGTGATATTTTAAAAAAATTTGTAGGTTGTCATCATTTGTTTCTTTCTATAAGCTCTGTAAATTTTTCTTGATGCATTGGAGTAATTAGTTCACCATGCTGGTAATTTACAAGCATCCGGCTATTTTCCTTTCTTCAGGGTCTCTCTAGCAAGTCTGCTTTCGAGAGACACAAACAGTGGCTTCAACATGCGAAAACTCGTTGTGCCCGACACAAAATTATGAAAGTATGTATCTCTGCGGAGTTAGAATGGAAATTTATCATGTACTGCTACTAAATTAACTGATGTGGAGCTCATCTTTTCTTTAGTTTTTGAGAGAGCAAGCTGCACTATCAGCATCTGAGATAACTGTGGATTCAGTTAAGGAATTTGCAGCTGAGTCTGAAGGGGATAGCACAGTGGAAAAATTAGCAGATTACTCTGAGGGAACCAAACATTCGTGGGAGAAAATCCTCAAAAATGTTATGGATGTATTATCTGCAAGGATGAGTGGTGAAAATATTTTCCAACTCCGTAGTGGTAGTATTCAAATTCCCAAGGTAAATGGGAAACATAATAAGTGCATGCAGCATACAAATTTGAAGGCCACAGGGGAGACATTGTCACAAGGAAATGGTGTTGGCGAAATGATACTTGCTAACATACCAAGGTACAGGGATGTTCTGCCTGGATTAGACGGCTGGATGGCTAGCAAAGTTGCAACTTGGCAAAACCTGGAAGGGCACTCTGTTCAGTGGTTTTGTGTTGTCAGCATAGATCGAAAAGGTAATGTTTGGTTCAGAGGCTACTTATTGCAGATGAGCATCAAACTGGATAAGGCATCACCGCTCATCTATATTAGATGCATTTGCGAACTCTGCTATGTATTGGTGGTTCTAAGTCCTTTGAAAAATCATTACCACTAGCACTGCTAGTATTTGTTTTTCGCCTTTTGCTTAGGCATTTGGTAGCCGAAACCTACTGCTAGGCCTGAAATGTTCCCAACCAACAGGTTCTAACATTCCTAGGGATCTAATCCAAGACCTTTAGTTAAGTGTGGAAAGATCTTAGCCCACTACATCACACCCCTTGTGAGAGAGGTTTGTCAGAATTACGTATTTAATATCTTGACTTCCTCGAAGGAGCAAATTTTCAAGTTCAAAAGAATGACATCAAAGTTTTGAATAACCAGAGAAGTGTGTGAGAGTATGTCGGGGTGGGGGTGGGGGGGGGGGGAGGCGGGATTCCATCGATGTAGAAGATCTAACTTTCTGTTCTTTTTTGTCTTTGATGTATTTTGTATAGTTCTGACTACATGTTTCCAGTTTATTAACCTTATATGTTCATTTGCATATGCACATTATGTATGACCTGGTTATTGGTTGACTAGTAGCAATATTAATATGTAGCCAACATTTTTCATGGTTTACTACTTGTCATGGCTGACATCTCAAACCACTACAATTATTTAGGCATGATGGCCGATATTACTTCAGCATTGGCAGCTGTAGGCGTCATCATATGTTCTTGTGCGGTGAGTTGGAACATTTATCATATCATTTTTCATCTAGGCTCGAACTCCTGAGCTATTCATATTGATAAATTTTAATATGGTCTGGGTTGACTGTGAAACTGTCTACATTGAGATCTGAACCTAGCTTACATTTGTGAAAATTTTCAATATTTGTTTAATATTAAATAACGGAACCTTGATTCACACCTTTCTTAGCTAGCTATATTAGGCAGTTTGTGACAAAGTATGTGACACTGTTAGCTCTTTAATCTTTATATTACTTCAGCAATAACCAGCAGGAGGTAACAATGAGAACTGTGTCGAAAGAGGATCTTACAAGTTAAGTTAGTCAATTTGCTCTACTACTTGCGTCTTGGTGCAGTGGGAGAGCATACATAGCTTCTTTTTTTCTTGATATGCTGATGGCGAAATAAGAAGAAGATGAATGTCATACCTGGAGTGATTGAGAACATTGTGGAAGGGAAAGAAGTGCTTAGGATAAAAATAAGGAAATTCATGCTAACTGTTACTATGAGAGGACTGAAACAATTCTATCTATTACATTGCATTCTTCTTTTGAGATATTACCTTTTGAGTATTCATTCTGAAAAATGCACAAAGATCTAAGCAATTAAATAGTCATATTCTCCTCCTGTTTCAATTATGTTAGAATTCTCAATTGTGAGGTGACTGCATTGTTACTTGAAAAAAAAAAAAACTGCAGGCTGAGACGGATAGAGGGAAGGGAATCGGTGTCGCGCTATTTCATATTGAAGCCAACCTAGAGAGCTTGGTATGTCTTCTGAACATGCTTCACTAATCTCTCTCTCTCTCTCTCTCTCTCTCTCTATTTTATGAATTCTCAGCTCCCACAGGTTGGTGCAAGTTCGAGGATTGACATGATCCTGGGTGTTTTGGGATGGTCCACGGGCTGCAGTTGGTCAGAGAACAAACAGTTTCTAGAATGCTAATTTAGTGGCCTGGTGAAGAGTAGTTGCCCAGCTGTTGAATGCTTGGGGAAGAAAGTTTTGTTCAGTGAAACCTGAGTTCTGTTTGACAAGTATAGAAGCAAGCAATATAGGTTATATGGTGTAGGGCGACTGTATATAAAGGAAGAGTAGCAACCAGTTATACTTGTAAAGGAATTTTCAACTATACGAACTCCAACAAAAGTATGTTACAGTTATACAAAATAAATATATTAAATTATTTGTCACATCTATTTCTAATGTGGTATGGGTTTGACACAACGTCACCGTGCTCCTTTGCCTTCTGCGTCCCACCACCACCGCAAATTCCCAACAGAAAATGGTAAGAGTGCAGACATTGCAGTTGGCTATATATGCCAAGTTTGCATCAGTAGTTACAACGATACTGTTAGTACAGTATACAAATCGGATCTATTTTTGCCTTTATTTAACAACTGATACACTTCTCTAACAAAATCAGTTACGTTAAGCATGCGTTTAAAGCATAAGAGCAAGTCAAAGAAAATGATATAAGCAGATGAGTCTGTTGTATCAGACTTCCTATGGCTTGAATCTTGCATAGTCTAGCTCTATGCTGATCTGCTTGGACAAATCTTGCGCTCCACGCATGTTGGTTCGAAAAGGCAAATGTGGATTTCTTCAAATTCAAACGATGCCCAAAATGAGAAGTAGAGATTTTAAATCAAAAAGCTATCGAACAATCATATCACACAACTTTTTCAGTTCAAATAAGGCTCCGAAACAAAAAAAATAGGAATTTTCCAAAGGGGCAAATGTAGGCCCACGCCACATAGCTTGAAACTCATCCCACCCATTGTCATCCCCATGCATTAGTGTCACTAAATAAAAACGCATACTTAATTTTTCGAGTCTCAGCTCTGAAAATTTTAAATTGTAGTTTACTGATTCGATTTTGACTCTAAATTTTGTGAGTCTACTTGTGATAACCTAGTGAATGATATTTATTACTTCTAGAAGACCAACATCACTTTTTTATAGTTTCATGTCATAAAAATAAATTCAAACTTATCTCAAATTTTAGTGTTTCCATTTTTTTAACCCATCGTGCCAAGTGATGCACGCGTTGGAGGAACTACACCTGTGTTTGGTCTCTACATCGACGCTACAAGGATTGAGGGTACGGTGACAAATGGTTGGATTGATTCAGATTTTGATGGATTGAATATGAGTTGACCAAAAATGGTTTGGATTACAATCCACACAAATAAAATATGACAAATATGGATTTGATCAAATATGATTTGGATAAAATAGTTTCAACTTACCCCTTCCCCTCGGGCACCCCCTCTCCCCAGCCCTTCTCCCGACCTTCCACCAACCGACCCCTAAAAAACTTACCCACTCCTCGGGCACCCCTCCCGGCCTCCCCCAATCTTCCACCAACCTACCCCTAATTTTTTTTGTTTTCTAAAAAAAATAAAAAGAATCTGTTTTTCAAAAAGAGAAAAAGATTTAGCCCCTTCCTCCGTGCACCCTCAACCCCCAATCTTCCACCAACCTATCCCAAAATATTTTTGTTTTTTAAAAACAAAAAAACTCTATTTCATTTCACTTATACGAGCTGAATATAGATTCTCATGTTAACCCATTTTGTCCATATTTATATGAATTTAAAGAAGTTGAAAACCATATTAACTCTTTTATTTTTTTTAAAAAAGAAATTCATTTAATATGAGAAAACTTATTTCATTTGAGCTTGAATTGACATCCTCCAAGGATGAAATAAAGAAATTTTTTTTATTACCCGAAATCGACCGTTTTGGAATCCGTTGAATGGTAATTACTATATATTGTTCAGCATGTTATTATTATTTTCTTTTTTAGAACTTTTAGCGGACAAACACAAATCTAATATAGTTACTTACAGCTGCCTAAAGTTATACTGTGATTTAGGCTACTGGTGTTTTCCCTCCCCAATAAATTGTCATCCAAGAATAGTGAACTATAATATATGATAAGTACATATTATGTGGTATATAGTAAGATTATTTTATTTTTAATTAGATTTTAAATTTAAATAATGAATATAAAAAAAATGTTATTAGAAGCGTTTGATCGAAAGAAATTTTCTCATGAATGACCAAAACATTAGATTGACATGGGATGAAATAATTCTACAGTCCATTTCTGGAGGGAGATAAGAAGTAGGTTTATTTTATTCATTTAATAAATAAGTTGATCGAAAATGGCACGTGTAGAAAAAAATAATGGACATTTGGCAGAGCTTAAACAATCACATTATTATAATTGTTATTATATTATAGGCCGAAAGTTTGGAATGGACAGATGTCAGGTTTAACAACATTTGAGCTGCGACCACGACAGCACAATGAATTTATTCAAACCACGATGATATAACAGACCAGAAGGGAAGAAAATATATAAAATAATTAGAGATAATAATTTCTACACAATTTTAGTTCTATAAAAAAAAACTTATTATAAATAATAATAATTAGACATATTCATGGGTCACTTTCTATATTATATTATATTAAAAAGAATTTATTAAGAAGGTGGTGTATTCAGTATTCTATCTATTTTGTTGTTGTAATTGGAAAATGTCGAATCCAAAGTTGTCAAGAATACCTAGTATGAGAGAGAGAGTTGAGGATACTCTCTCTGCTCACCGTAATCAGCTAGTGGCTCTCCTATCCAGGTAGGTACTAATTTGGAGATTTTTCTTTTTTGATAAATTAGTTGAGAAAATTTGGAGATTTATTTAAAAAAAAAACAAAAGATATGTGGCGCAGGGGAAGGGGATATTGCAGCCTCATCATTTAATTGATGAGCTGAATAATGCTGTATGTGATGACACTGCTTGTGAAAAGCTGAAAGAAGGCCCCTTTTGTGAAATCTTGAAATCTACTCAGGTTGTTTCATTTGATTTTCTGTTCAGAATTTAAACATCGAAATTCGTTTACCTGACATCAAAATATATAGGAAGCCATTGTGCTCCCACCATTTGTTGCTATAGCAGTTCGTCCAAGGCCAGGTGTTTGGGAATATGTTCGTGTGAACGTATATGATCTGAGCGTTGAACAATTGACGGTTCCTGAATATCTCCGTTTCAAAGAAGAACTTGTCGATGGAGAGTAAGTGTTGTATTGCAAATATGTTACATAGGAAACTTGCACAAGTTTACCTTGGTTTCAACTGTAGGGATCATAATCATCTTTTTGTGCTTGAGCTGGATTTTGAGCCATTTAATGCATCAGTTCCTCGTCCCTCACGCTCTTCATCCATTGGAAATGGAGTACAATTCCTCAATCGTCATTTGTCCTCAAATATGTTTCGCAGCAACGAATCCCTCGACCCATTACTTGATTTCCTTAGAGGACACAATCATAAAGGGAATGTAAGTACCCTGACCGGTTTTTCCTAATTCTGCTTATCCCTGATTGTCTCGGTACGTGCAACCATTATCCGCTATTCTACTTGTATTGCTGGACACCATTACTTTATTGTTTTTCCCACTTGTTCATCTAACTGTTCAACTACTTCTATTTGTAAGATGGATTCTCTATCTACGCAGGTCTTGATGTTGAATGAACGTATACAGCGAATCTCCAGGCTGGAGTCGTCTCTTAATAAGGCAGATGATTATCTCTCAAAGCTACCACCAGATACACCCTATACTGACTTTGAATATGCGTGAGTTTGTACATATTTGTTTTGTCTTCTTACAAGTGTAAGAAAATTAAAGATATATAGGAGCTGAAATCTTGTTCATGGAACCATGTGGATGCAGATTGCAGGAAATGGGCTTTGAGAAAGGTTGGGGTGATACTGCAAATCGTGTTTTGGAGACTATGCATCTGCTTTCTGACATTCTTCAGGCTCCTGATCCCTCAACCTTAGAGACTTTTCTTGGTAGATTACCAATGGTGTTTAATGTTGTCATATTATCTCCTCATGGATACTTTGGTCAAGCAAATGTCTTGGGTTTGCCGGACACTGGTGGACAGGTAATAACAAGGTGAAAGGGGTCTTGTATTATGTAAACTCGTTTGCATACAACTCCAATTTTTTTTCAGCATATTCCCTTTAAACAGTTATCTATCATCTACTTCATCTTCCCCACAAACATTGTCACCTAGCTTTTCCTACAATCTGAAGAACTGGAGGAAAAAAAAAGAATTATCTTATCTTCTATTTAGTATTAACGGAGAAGACTTATCTTTGTTGGAAATTCTGATTCTTACATTTGGTTTATTTCCTCTTCTTGCAAATTATACTGCTGAATCATCCTGAGATATGCCAGTTTACTTTGGATGTAAAGGTTAATACGGGACCACTCAGTTCTTTCTTGCAGTAGACTTGAGCAGGCACACTCTATTGCAGTTGATATATTTCGTATAATCTTGCAGAAGCTAGAGCAGTGTTGTAATGTTACTGAAGTTTCATCCATGGTTTCCTTGAATTTGTTCTCCTTTTGGTGATTCACAGGTTGTCTATATACTGGATCAAGTGCGTGCTTTGGAGGCCGAAATGCTTCTTAGAATAAAGCAACAAGGACTCAACTTCAAGCCTAGAATCCTTGTTGTGAGTACATGTATGTTATGCAAACTCTAATTTGGTTTCTGGGATTGTATTTGACATAAATATGCTTTCTTTGATTGCAAAAGGTCACCCGACTGATACCTGATGCTAAAGGAACCACGTGCAACCAGCGGTTGGAGAGAATTAGTGGAACTGAATACTCGCATATTTTACGTGTCCCTTTTAGGACAGAAAATGGAATCCTTCATAAATGGATATCTAGGTTTGATGTATGGCCTTACCTGGAGAAGTTTACTGAGGTAACCTCTTTGTCTTTTGGAAATCACCGTTTGTTGCTGATGTTTGTTCAGTGTGCTAAAGTGAACGATGGCAACTAGTACAAATTGTGCGAACTTGAAGCCAACTGTTGTGTTTGCCAACATGTTGATAAATGGATAACTTTTGGTCATCATTTACATTTTTTGGTTTAACATACTGGATAACACACTTCTCGTGTCTTCCTGCGTATATATATTGGAAAATGACAATACTCGCCCTTCTATAATTTTTTAGGACCTTTCTGTGTACGGTAAATTTCCCAGCTGACATTTCCAAGTCAATTCTTGACCAGGACGTGGCAGGTGAAATGTCTGCTGAGCTCCAGGGAGTGCCTGATCTGATTATTGGCAACTACAGTGATGGAAATTTAGTTGCCTCCCTGTTAGCATATAAAATGGGCATCACACAGGTAGGAAAGACGTGATTATTTACCTGGCTAGCACAATGTCTTGAGGCTGTGTATCTGCAATACTAATTTAATACTTTTCTGCCACCTTTATTTCCCAGTGTACCATTGCTCATGCTTTGGAGAAAACAAAGTATCCTGATTCTGACATCTATTGGAAAAAGTTTGAGGAGAAATATCATTTTTCATGTCAGTTTACTGCTGACCTACTGTCAATGAATCATTCAGATTTCATAATCACTAGTACCTATCAAGAGATTGCAGGAACGTAAGTCATCTTAATTTGGCCCTGATTTTTTATTGAGTCCATTTTTAATTCAATAGCATGATTTGAGGAACTGTGATTGGTAACCTTGTCATATCTGTGAATTGTTCCACAATTTTATTTGTTATTGAAGAAACGATTTGAGCTTGTAATCAGATATAATTTGTCATGTTTGAGCTAGAACTTGTTTCATTATCTGTCGAGAGGATGATACTGTAACTATATTTTGTGTGTGGCAATTTACATTTCATCCGTCTATTTTTTATATATGTTTGGGCTTTTCTTCCTGCTGATCATGTTTACATGGCTGAAACTCAAAAAAGATATATGAACGCCTAGTTGATATTGTTGGATGCTTAAGAATCAGTAGATGTTTTGCTCCATGAATGACTAATGTTAATAAATAACAAGTGATATATATAGATGTGAATCATCTTGTAAGCAAGCGAAAAATGAACAGAAAAATGTAACATCCTCAATGGATTGTTCTGACTTGTAAAAAATTGTATCTAGAAATTGTTTCAGCTTGTAACCATATGTATGATGTTCCATACGGATGTGAACATTGATGTGCCATCGATCATGATCTGGATACTGAATCCTATATTGTAAACAATTTGGCTTGGCCATAATATTGTCTTTATAGTTCACGCAGATTGCTTAATTACACCACTATGTTTTACACGTTTAATATTCATGCGGCATAATGATGTTAAACATTAGATGGCTTGCTTGGAATCTGATAGCGGCTTGTTTCAGGAAGAATACTGTTGGTCAGTACGAGAGTCATACTGCTTTCACTCTCCCAGGCCTATATCGTGTTGTCCATGGCATTGATGTCTTCGATCCCAAATTCAATATAGTGTCTCCTGGAGCTGACATGACAATTTACTTCCCATATTTTGACAAGGAAAAGAGACTGACATCTTTGCATCCCTCGATTGAGAAGTTGTTATTTGATCCTGAGCAGAATGAAGTGCATATGTAAGTGGCCATTCATGTAAACTAATAATTTGGAATATATATATAATGATTTGTATAAAATGAACCCAACACCGCTACATTAGAAAAGGAGGGCCTGATATGATTATCCACAAATGAACTCCTTATATTTGCTCACACTGCCCTGGATATTGAAAGAGAGGAAGTACCACATATAATATTGTATTGATTTTTTGCTCTTTGCTTCTGATGGGCAGTTTTTTGTGATCAGTAAATTGACCATTGATTGATGTCATTACCTTTTTTTCTTTTTTAATTACAGAGGCAGCCTGAATGATCAATCAAAACCGATAATTTTTTCAATGGCAAGGCTTGACCGGGTAAAGAACATTACCGGATTAGTTGAGTGCTATGCTAAAAATGCCACACTCAGGGAACTGGCTAACCTTGTTGTAGTAGCTGGATACAACGATGTAAAGAAATCCAATGATAGAGAAGAAATAGCAGAAATTGAGAAGATGCATGCTCTTATGAAGGAACATAACTTGGATGGTCAATTCAGATGGATATCAGCCCAAATGAACCGGGCACGTAATGGTGAGCTCTATCGCTATATAGCTGACAAGAGAGGTATATTTGTTCAGGTATGATGCTTGTATCGTATTGTTTCGATCATCTCCACTTTCATTCTCCTAGAGGTAGGTGGTTATCATGAAAAATATATACATATCTTCCTTTTAGCCTGCGTATTATGAAGCGTTTGGACTGACGGTGGTTGAAGCTATGACTTGTGGTCTTCCAACATTTGCAACTTGTCATGGTGGACCTATGGAGATCATTCAGGACGGTGTATCCGGGTACCATATAGATCCTTATCATCCCAATAAAGCTGCTGAGCTCATGGTAGAATTCTTCCAACGATGCGAACAAAATCCTACTCACTGGGAAAATATATCTGCATCTGGCCTACAAAGGATTCTCGACAGGTTTGTAGTTGTATATATTTGAATGGAAGCATTGCTCACTTTCTAATATTCAAACCATATTTAAAGGTATACATGGAAAATTTACTCGGAGAGGCTGATGACTTTGGCTGGTGTATATGGTTTCTGGAAGCTTGTTTCAAAACTCGAGAGGCGTGAAACTAGACGATACCTCGAGATGTTCTACATTCTCAAGTTCCGTGAGTTGGTGAGGTCCTTTTCAGCTCATATTCAATCAAAATAGAAATGCAGTTCAAGTGGTATATATACGCCGCTTAAACATGTCTCCTTTTTCCAGGTAAAATCTGTTCCTCTAGCAGTTGATGAGAAGCAGTGAGGATTTTGCAAAGGAATAAATAACGTGGAGCATACCACTCTATCTATGATAATTTTTTTTTTGTTCTTCTTGTTTGTTGTGTAGTTAAACTAATTAAGTGCACTGAGTTTCTAATAGATCTCAAATAGCTAAACGTTACTATCTCCTATTTTAATAGCGCTATACTTTAATTTGTCAAATACAAATCAGTGATCCAATATGCTGAATTTATTTAGAATTGAAAAAGGATGTCATCTTCATCTTGATAGTCTTAAACAGGCAAGCACGGTTGATTTTCTATCTTAACTATATAACCATTCTTTAATTAAAAAAATTATTATTAATGTCCCAAAACCGATGGAAAAAATCAATAAGAACGCAATAATTACAATTGGGATAATATAATATCTATTTAATTTGACTAGTGTAATACAATTAAAACAAACATGATCGATTAACAAGAATTTTCAACTAGATGTCCGTATGAACGTTGGTTTTCATTTCTGTATAGCATTCATTTAGTTGCTGAAAAGTCGGAGCCTTCTTGAAGCAAACATATGCTAGGTTTTATTTTTCTTCACATATATATAACAATAATAAAGTATGTCACTATTATCCAATTTTACGACAATTTCTGCCAAACGGTTTCATCACAATAATTGTCTTCTTCTTGCTTATGGATTTTCTTCTCTCTTTCAAATGGTAATGTATTGTTTTTTCATTCCAACAAATGTATCTTAGAAATTTTGACATTTCAGATCATATTCAATACTTTATTGCTTATTCCTCTCCTTCATTTTGCAAAACTTGTGATTCTTCCTTTTCTTTTCATGTTCTCGTTCGATCATAAAAAGCATTTAACGATATGATTTATATTTGTCACAACCAAAATGTTTCCATCTTTGTGATGCATGTAAAAGCAATTATTTTTGAATTCCTTCGGCAAAGAGTATGATCAGGTCATTATTTTATTGACCTATGATAAAAGTAGGTTGTTCATTCATTTATAACTTTAGTCTGTCTGCTCTTCTTAGTCGATCAAAAGTAAAGTGAAATTAATATATTTGTTTATTTAGATTGGCAATAAGAATGACTTGCTTCATATTCTAAATTTTGTTACATAACTGAAAACATGCTATTTCTTTTTCTTTATTAGTTAACGTTTTTGGTAGAAGCGAAAATTTTCGTAGATAGAAATGTCAAGAATTAAATTCATCATCAAGCAAAAACTTTTAACAATATTATTGATATCATAATGGACACCTTTTTTATGTGATTCAACTAAATATATTTTAAACACTAACACAAAATAAGATTTATTCCATTTACTTCCTGGTACATTGAACTTTATATTATATCGTTACTTATTACGCATTATTATTAAAAGATATAAATTATATTCCATTCTGCTAATTATTTATTTTGAATGTTCAAATTGGCGCACATTTTAGTTTTTACTTATATTAAAACATAACCGTCATTTTCCATTTTAATCATTTTCAGACAGTCAGCCTGACTTTTTTGTTTGTACGTAGATTAAGTGGTCATAATGGTTTTATTCTCTTTTTATTGAAATAATATATATATTTTTTTATATATCATCCAAAATCATTGTGCTACCTCTAATTGTTATGCTATTGTGCAGTACTTTTGTTGATTTGCTTATTTCCGTCTTTTCTCCCTTTATCAAGACTCATTAAATATGTCATTCAAAAAGTCGCAAGGAGTTGACTTGTCTCTGTCATCTACAGAGCAACAAACTAAGGTTCACACTCTATTTTTTTTCCTATTCGAATCATTTATTTTTATTACTATTATTATATGCCTCATTTCATAATAATTAAGGAACTAGAGTTTGATGTACTTTGAGAAAGTTGAAATACTAAGCTTTTATGTTTGACTAGTAACAATAGAATAGAAAAGAAATATAAAGTAGTGTTTTTGTAGCTTGATATATATGCATGCATGTGTTTAAAATGTAATCGTAATTCATTTCTTTGTGATATTCGTCAGATCAATGAGGTGCGAAAATTAATTGGTCCTGCTCTTAACAAATTTCCAACAATGTGTTCGGATGCATCAATTCTAAGATTTCTGAGAGCACGAAATTGGCATACAAAAAGGTCAGCCAAAATGCTCAAAGAAGCATTAATATGGAGATTAGAAAACAAACCAAACATGATCCGTTGGGTACGTAATTAATATACAAAACAATTAATGAATTATATACTCCATGTTAATTTTATGTCTTATCATATAAAAATAATAGGATGATATTGCTAAACAAGCAGAACCTGGAAAAGTTTACAAAGCCAACTATTTTGACAAGTATGGAAGGACTGTGCTTGTCATGAAGCCTGGAATACCGGTACGTATGTATCTATAATATATATAGGAAGAAATACATAGTATTTTTATTTAATTTGTTGTTGATGATGATATATATATATATATATATATATATATATATCTCCTATTCAATTGAATTCAGAATCCTTACTCCGTAGAGATGCAAATGAGATATCTAATTTATTGCATGGAGAATTCTATATTGGATCTAAAATCTGGTCAGGAGCAAATGGTTTGGTTGATCGATTTTGAAGGATGGAACATGTCTAGCATATCAGTAAAGGTGACTAGGGAAACAGCACGTCTTCTGCAAGATTGTTATCCAGAGAGGCTAGGTCTTGCAATCCTTTATAATCCACCAAAAGTTTTTGAGTCCTTCTGGATTGTAAGTAGCTAAAAGAAATAATTACGTTAATTTTAATTTAAATTTTTCACATGATGAATTCTTTACATTGTAGTTGGTAAAACCATTCCTTGAGAAGAGGACATACAAGAAAGTGAAGTTTGTGTATCCAAATGATGTAGATACTCAAAAAGTTATGGAAGATTTGTTTGATATGGAGAAGCTTGAATCATGTTTTGGAGGAAAATGGACACATGATTTTGATTATGTCACTTACTCTAATCGCATGAGAGAGGGGGATAAGATGATGACTGATTTTGTTATTTCTGGTGCTCCTTTGCCCTCTGACCAATTCCAATTGTCTACGGATGAAACAACATCCAATTTCAAAACTTCACACGACACCAGTGAAAATCATCCAAATATTGATGACATAAAACAAACCGACTAAACAATCTTCATACATTCATTATCTACTTGTTGTAATTTTTGTACACACACATTATATGAATCTCAATTTTATTTAATTCATCTTCTTCTTTTTTCCCTTTAATTCTATCAAAAAAAATATTCAGATGATCCTAAAATAAATATGCAAAACACTCATATATATATATATATATATATATATATATATATATATATATATATATATATATATATGCGCGTGTGTGATTCATTTGTCAACTTTTCATTTACAAAGTCACGTAAACTACTATTGTATTTCGTCTTTTGAAAGAATTGTTTTAAGGTTTATTTTCAGTATTTATTTGACATAGTTTATTTGGTAAATTCTAGTTTCAAATGAAGTTTCAATAAATGTAACGTTGAAGGGGTTTTTGTGAAAAATTTGAAATTCAAACGGGCATAAAACGTGCATCCGATATACGATCGAGACGATTTCTATTCCAACTTGATTTTTTTTTGATATCTACACGAAAAAGAACCACACACTACCATATGATTTATAGTTTTACGTTTATCGATTTTTTAACCATATATATCGCAAAATTATAAGGAATAAATGAAAGTTAAATCAGATAAATGGAATGAGTTTACACATAGATCTCAAAATAATAAGCAACTTTTAAAAAAGAATCGCCTCCAAATGATACTCGAACAAAAAGTTACAGCCATTTGAAGTTTCAACAACTGTAATGTTAAAGGGGTAGTTGTGAAAATTTGAACTTCAAACTGAACGGACGTCCACAAAAAAAATTGGCATTTTTGACGTCGGAATCCGGATCACCCAAAAAATGGTTTCTATAGCACACGAAAATCGTCGAAATGAGGGGTATGCTCGCTTGGGGGCTCGTTTGACCTTCAAAATGGGTCAGACGGGCCGTGAGGGCCAACCGGAT